CCTGCTCCTGCTCACCTTTGAACTCGAAGAACAGGCGGGTCAGCGCCAGCACCGTGCAGCTGATCATGGTGACCGAGCCCGTGAGCCCCGCGTAGACCAGGAGCAGGAAGCGCTGCATGGCCTCTGCAAGAGGGGGATGACTCAGGCCTCTGCTCGCCCCCCACCCAGCAGCATCCCTGGCTGGTTTCAGAGGGGTGCTGGAGCAGCTGTGGGGCTGAGTAAGCAAAGGAGGTGCTCACCTTGGGGGGTGGGCCCGAAGCGGATGAAGGCGTGCCCCATCTCCACCAGCAGCATAAAGGCGTTCTTGCGGGCTCCCACTGACACTTCCTTGGTGCAGAGGATGACCTGGAGGCACACGGGCACGTCACAACCCTGCCAACCCTGCTGTCCCCTCCACGGCCAGAATCATCTGGGTCCTCCCAGGGCCAGGCTCACCTCTGGGACCAGGGCGGTGATGAAGGGCTCATGCTCCGCAGAGAGCTGCTTCACGATGTGCATCAGGCACTTCAGCCGGGGCTGGGGAAAGAGACAGCCCAGCGCTGGTACACCCAGGGACACACAGCCAGGGACACACACAGCTGCCCTCACCCTGTCCCCTCCTGGCAGGGGCCGAGCTCGGCCACTGCAGCCCTTGCTCTCACCCTTTTGGCCGGGGACGCCGCGCTCTTGAGCGAGTCCAGCAGCGCCGCTTGCAGATCGGGCAGGTGGGAGCGGACGAAGGCCTGGCAGGGGGCACGGGGAGCGGCACACACCTCCTCCAGCACGCGGTACGCCTTCTTCTGCATGCTGTGCTCCTTGCTCTGCAGGGAGAGCAAACGCCCCCGCCGTCAGGGCAGCCCCTCACCACGGGGTCTGAGGGGACCCCCACAGCACCCCATACCACCCAGCAGAGACCTGTCCCCTATAGCAGCTGCTGAGTCTGCCAGAGCGCGGGTTCAAGCTGGCAGCAAGCAGGTGCCCTTCTGCACTCCCTGTGCCCGCTGGGGCTGGGGGCCAACTCACCTGGAGGGAAGGCTGGATGGTGCGGTACAGGGAGCTCAGGGACTGCTCATCAGCGTAGGGTGCCATTGCCACCACCAGGTCCAGGATGGAGAGTCTGCAGCAGAGAAGAACACGCAGGTGGGCAACTGCAGCATCACCAACACCGCCCGTCCAAGCTGGGACTCTGGCTGTGAGCCTCATCAGATGCACGAGAGTGGCACATCCCACACGGGACAGCACGAGTGTCCTAGTGCTGCTCACCAGGAGGAAGCCAGCAGCTTTACCCATTAGCACCAGCCCCCGGGTGTTACCTGGCAAACTCGGAGCTCTCAGGACTGGTCAGCTTCTCACTGGCTTTCTGCAGGAACCCGCACACCATCTGCAGGGCAGGGACACAGAGCAGGATCAGAAGGGACTGGAGGGAACACTTTTTCAGGGGTTTGCAATCCACCCGGCAAACACCTCGCATGTGACTGTGTGGAGACCAGAAGCACCAGCAGGTTCAAAAAGAGCTGGGCAAATTCCCAAAGGACTCGTGCATGATGCACCAGGTGTGGCTGTAAGGCTGGGAAATCCCAGATCTCTGGCAGGGAAGGGGTCCCTCCCCATGAGGCCAGGGAAGGGCTGCTCTCTTTCTTCTTGTCCTTTCCAGTTAGGCACCCACCACAGCCCCATCAAACTGTGTCCAGCTGGGAGATGCTGGCCCAAGCCAGCACAGGCTGCTCCACTGCCCCAGGCTCCCCTCACCTGGGGGTCGGTGATGGTCAGGTAAGCACGGACAGTGTCCAGCACAGAGTGGCGCTGAGCGCTGCCGCTCCCATCCTCCTCAGGCTGGCTGTACACATTGAACAGGATGGGCAGGAAATTTTTGGCAAAGCGACCCACTTCTGCCCGCTCCGCATCTAGAGAGAGGATGACAGTGGGGTACAGATCAGCATGTCCCCTCTCCAGGTCACCGCAGGGGACAGGGAGCCACCAGGAGGGGCTGTCCCCCCCAACCTGTCTCGCAGCCTTTGTGGATGAGGGTGCGCAAGGCCTGGCACACGGTGGGGCGGAGGTCTGGGCGCTCGCTGATGGCCATGCCCAGGGTGCGGG